CTACGGTTTTTCAAGGGCTTTTGCAAATTGTAGAAGCCCTTCAAACAAACCAAAAGGATTAACCTAAAGTGAAGAGCCTACTTATAAAAAATTTGAAAAGACCCTCAATGCATTTTCTAAATCCAAAACAAGAACTTACTTGGAGGTTGAGTTATTTGGCTTTTGGCTGGATATTGATAGGAAAATGGCCAGATATCTCGCTGGCAATCCCCAAAATTTTGGGGGGGAGAGAGAATTGTGAAAGCCCTTCTCTCTCTAAAGTTGGGTTGTGCTTGTATATGATTTAAAACCCTGGAGTTTTTAATTTCCATAAGTACCCCTTTGTAAATTTGTAAGGATGAAGCCCTCCGCCGCTTTTAAATATTTTGTGCAATTTTAATAAAGTAAAAACTAAAAGTGATAAGGTCAAAAGTGATGTTAACGTGGACCTGCTGGTTCAGCCATGGACCGGTGGATCGGCTGGCCCATAGGGGCATGACTGGTTTCTTGTTCCACCCTGTTTAGGACCCCTGACCGAACCGGAAAGCGTATTGGTTTTCCGTTTTCCAGTGTGAACCAGCAGGTCTAGTCCGTTTCTAACAACCCTGGTTCTAAGTAAGATGGGAACCAATGTTTGAAAAAGTGATCTCCTAAAGGACCTTAATATATCTTCCACTTTTAATGTGGCAGATCTTCTTGAGTATCATGACCAAGGTAGTCAAGTAAGGAATGATGATTGGCAACAGAAATTTCCATTAGTGCCTGAGGATAAAGTGTAGCAAATCCTTGATGGTGTTGTCATCAAGAATTATAGAGGTGAATATTGGAAGTTCTATGTTCAATGGATGGGAAAACATCAGTTAGAGAGTATGTTGACTTCATAATTTAACTTGAGGGCAATAGATAAGAAGATTCTTGTGATGCTGTAAATTCACTGAGTTGACTTCTTGCAGGGAGAGATTGACACAGTCAAGGAGTAACTACCCCTTGAATTTGATTGATTGGTTTTAAACGGTGCTTCATTAGTTAGTCGTTAAGGGGTAAAGTCATCCTTTACTTAGTGTATCTTTTATTTTCTATTTGGAGAGCATGTAGGTTCCATGAACTTCCTTTCATGAATCACTTTGCCTGCAAGTAGTATGAGCTTACTAGTACATATATAATATATCCTATAAGACTGCATTTGTTAAGACTTAGGAGTTTGTGTAGCTGTCCTTGAATCTATATTGTGTAGATTCAATTTTTGGTTAAATCTTCCCCTTCACATGCATAGGTGAGGAATGCCTGTGGAAGGAGGAGCAGAGGTGGTGAATGCCTCGCAAATTCAAGGTTCCTGTTGAACCTTTTATTTAACGATACATATTTCACCCTTCGTCATTTGTAAGATATGTTGAAAAGATACTATATTTTAATTCACAGAAAGCTATTGTAAATAATGTAATAACAAATAACTTAGGGAAATCTTCATACTACCCCCCTCCCCAAGAATTGGATTTCACCGGAAGCCCCATGATTTTCATTCTTTCAAGCGGTTACATTTCACAGATTTCCTTCTGTACACCCCATTCATATGTCTTATTTTTTTTTTTATTTTACAAAAAAATACACCCTTATGGACTTTTTATTTCCATTCAAATGAAACCCCTTACTTCATCAAGTCTCCTTTATTCTCTCTTGCAGTCTCTTTCTCTAAAATCCTCAACATCTCTTTCTTCTCCCTCTTATTCTCTTACTCTCGGTGTCTCTCTAACACCCTTCCCTCCTCTTTCTCTCTCAAAACTGTCCAAACTCCATAATTTTTTGGAGGCACCTGCCCTATCGGTGAAGTAGTTCCCACTCGTCTGAATTTGACCCCACTTGATTAAAACACATTGGATCTTTAGCATTTTTTATTGGGTTATTGAAAAAAATCAATTACAGGGGATTATAAGAATCTACCTTGCCAAATAAAAAGCTATGGAAGGTATTTGAGTCGAGATCCACGAACTTCGAGGAGAGATTAGTGAAATAAATTATGGTGAAATAAATCAACGGTTGTGACAATTGGAAAAATACCAATCGTCAAGAAGAAGGTACCCTTGTAACTTAGTAGATATAACACGAAATCCTGACTTTCGAGATCAAATAAATGATATACTTGAATATATTGGATACTATAATAGGTAACATCAATGCCAAATATGTTGAGAACATAATACGATAGTCTATTATGTAATATGAAATACAACTATTTGAGCTTGAAAGCAAGATTTTGCTCGACATCCCAGAGTTTTTCGACAAGTTGCAGACTAAGTGTTTAATTAATCGGTTCATTGAAGAAGACAAAATATTCAAGCAAATTGTGGGACTTCATCACCAACTATTCAAATGGCCTATGAAGGATGTAATGAAAACAACAAGCTCGAGGTCAAGCTTCGCCCGTACAATTGGAATTGAGATTCATACCATTTTGGAATTGGGTTTTGAATCTAATTGGAATCGAGATTCACACCATTTTGGAATCAAATTTCAATCCACATGGAATCAAGATTCCTACCTCTATGGGATTGAGGTTCAACCCAGTTGAATTGAGATTCCTACATCTATGCGAACACACCCAACAACTTAGAACCGCAATGGAAATCAACAAGAAATGTGTTTCATAGGCCAAAAGGTTTGAGGTTCTAGAATAAACTTATGCAAGAATCCCTTAGTATTGGAATTTATGTATTGAGTATGCTTGCCCATGGTTCCCCTAGTCTTGGAATTGAGATCCTCAAATGTCCTAAAGAGTCCTAAAGACTAGAACAAGGGATCCCCGAGTATTCAAAACGATATATTGAGCTTTAATCAGAATATTGGAATCAAGGTTGAGTGGCCCTATAGATTTGAGGTTATTTTAGGCTCTGAAATGAGTAAAGAAAGAAGAAATACTTGATTTGTTAATAATGAAATTTATAAGAACAGAATATTTATTTTGAGTTAAGCAGATACTCATAGTCCTTTACGGATATCGTGATGGTGTTTACAAAACATACATGTGCACTTAATGACTTGAATCAATAAAGAACGTAGACCACTGTTGCTTTTTAATAGTCATTTGCTACTGACAAAATGAATGCACCTTCTACATTGAGATCAGGGTGTCTAGCTCGAGCTGTTTGATGCTTTGACGCTTAAAATCCCGTTGACATTGAGATTTATGGGCCTTTTGATTTCTAATTATGCAAGGAGGGTGAAGACATGAAGTTCTTAATTTTTAATGCTCTAAGGTCCAAGTTGTAGCTGGCTTTAACTTAGCTGCAAAAGACATTATGATACTTTGTTAAGAACTTATTACATTTGCATTTGAGTATTGATTCAATATTACCAAAGGGTTGACCATGTGTTGATCGGGTTGTTATTGGGTGCACCTATAAACCATTGGTTCCAATGTTTTCCAATCCGGGATCGGAATAACTCAGATCGGATTTCATAAATATTTGATGTGAGATTGTGTGTTCATTGAATCACGGTTTCGTGCACCTATGAACCGTAATATTTAATTCAATGGAATTTCGATTAAGACAAACAAAGTCGGATCGAGATTTTGTGAAGGTGGAAGCAAGTTTTCGTGTTGATCAAATCACAGGTTCTTACACCTATGAAATATGGTATTATGTTGTGGAACTTGGATTTCAAAAAAAATTGGAACGAAATTCAGTAAATGTTGGAATCGAGATATGAAATTGTGGAATCGAGGTTTAATAAAATGTGGAATTCAAGATTCCTAACTTCAATTAAATAGGTTCCATGAAGATTCCTTGACGGGAATTTGAAGTGGAATCATCACAGGGTGAGATATTTTGTTAACTACGGTTTTGAGTTGTTTGTGCAGTTTTTAGCTATGGAGAATTGAGGTGTAGAACTTGAAATTTATTTTTTAAAAGATGAAGGGTTAGGATCTAATATTGATTAGGATTCTTAAAGAACAAGTTAGGATTTAGGTTGGTTTCTTTTGTAACCCATGCAACTATTGGACCAGAAAAATGAAATAGAGAAGAGAAGAAGAATTTAGTTTGTCTTGTGAAAAGATCTTTTGGGTAGACTCCCTTGCAGGTCGTTAGAGAGGGTATATTTTCTCCATTTATTTTATCTTTTATTTTTCTAGGTTGTTTTATTTTCTTCTTGCGTTCTCCCTGCATCAGTTCGAATGGGCCCCATGTATGTCCTTCATTTCTACTCTCTTGCTTGCTCTCACCCACCCCTTATCATCTTTCCCTGTCTCACCACCATACCTTCCTTCCTACTCATTTCTTCTCTGCCTACCTTCTTGCTGTCCCTGTCTCCAAGCCCAATCTATAAGCATTTTGAGGATGCAAAGAGTAAGAAATGTTTTGCAATGATGTCGAAAGAGTGGGGGGGAGAGAGAGAGAGTGAGAGAGAGAGAGAGCTCCTTTTAAGAAGGGAGAAGGAGTAAGGAGAGAAGACGAGAGAGAAAAACTGAAAGGCTTGGAGACATACTCCCTGTGAGAGAATGAGACGGAGATTTCACGAGTTAGGGATTTGAATTTTAGTGGAAAACGGAAGTTTAGAGGGGTGAACTTCGATAAGAAAATATGCAATAAGCGGATAGGTGTACAAAAGGGGGCTTTATGAAATGCTAACTGAAATTTCCATGTGGTGCGAAGAGAAAGAAATCACAGGATTTGAAGTGGGCTAATATAATTTCCCAAGAATTTGTGCTCAGCCACATGTTGCATATCCAGTTGTGCAGTTTTTTGGTTTTGCAAATTTTTTCTTGCTTTCTTTGGTAATGTTTTCCTAATATTCATATATACTTTCAATTGACTGGTGCTTGGTTTCAGTAGCATCCTACCTCTGTCATCTGTAGACTGACATTCTCATACTGTCGTTGTCATATATGTGTTTGTTAGTGCATGTTGAGGACCTTGATCAAACTGTGCTTACCTCTGTAAACTGGAAGTGACAGCTGTAAAATGTTGTTCCTGTGCTTGTTTCATTTTTTTGAAAATCTCATTATTGTTTACTCCTATTTTCAGTACTACTACCATGTCCTCATGTGCATGAGGAAAGCTCAAGGACGAGGTTTGGAGCTAGCTAGAAAGCACATAGCCTCATGCTTAGCTGAGCTAGCAAGTATCTATGGATCATCTGAATTCCTAATGGCAAATGCCCATGGAATTCGTCAAGCTGTTATTGAAGATAGAACAACTGCTTCTGGATGCCAACCCATTGGTTTTCATACTGGTTTAGATAATGTAGCTCCAACGCCTCCACGTGCTATCAAAATTATTAGCTGGAAAAAGGTGAACACCTTGTCACTAACTTCATAATTTATACCAAGTGCCTTAATTAAAATCCAAGATTTACATTCATGTTACCACCAGGCTCTCGAATACTTTGAGAAGCTTCTTCAAGATTTAGATATCATATGTTCATTCCGGCTAGATCCATTGTTAGAGGATGTTCTGCAGTTTGTGGTTCAATTTCAGAAGTCTCAGCCTGATTTGGTTGCAAGAGCTCATCTACAGGTCCGTTCTCGTTATCTATGTCATCTTGTGAGGACATTACTCATGAGCAACAATGTAATGCACTTCTAGTTGATGTGACTTTTTTATAATTTTTTATGCACATTTGTGCTTAAATAGACGGTGATCATTACTCATTTTTTAGCTATGCTTCCACTTATCACCTATTACACTGTATTTAGAAGATGTTATGTTGCACCGTATAATATCTTGTATGGATACTAATGGTAACTTGGGCATTTGCCTTTCTATCATCCTTGAGCTTTCTGTAGCATTTTGACTCTCTGGCTTTTGGCGCATTATTGAACACTTTTCATTCTTTGAATCACAATGCTCACATAATGTTGGCACACCTTAATTACGGACTTGTCTTTGCTCTGCTCTAGGCTTGGATTTGCTTATCCCTAAAATGGTGCATTCACTTTGGGTTTAGGCAAATGTCACTCAATTCAAGTTTGTACTTTCTTTCTTGCATGGGGTGTCAGTTCTTCGTAGATGCTTTGAGATGGTGATTCTTCCCCCCTGCTTCGTATGCTTCATTCTTATCAAGTCTCCCTCCACCCATTTCTTCTATTCCTGTTTCCACATTTTACTACTTTATTTCATGCAATTAATTACTTGGTGACCGAAGTGACTTCTCTCACTTTTCTCCAACAACAGCATGTGTCCTGTGATTAATCCTTTGAGGATCCCATCTTTCATGTTTATATACAAGAATCTTAGTTGGGTGAACTATCTTCACCGTGGTTTTGAGACCATATCAAGCCTTTGAGACTCAGGTCAAGAGGAATCTTGTATCTGAGTTACAGTTGAAACTCAAACAGAGAATTGACAGATGGAGAATGTTATGTATTACATGATAGCATCGAGGGACTTATTGTAGTCTGTGCGATTTCTTTAAATGAAAACGAAAATCTTTTTTTGAATCTGTTAACTTTGTATTAAGTAAAAGAGCTGTATGATATACAAAAAAGATTGTCCTCGAGGGACAGAAAAAGGCCTTAGGCCATGTCAAAAAATGCTATACAACCCAAAAAACATCAGTAAAGCAAGAGGGAACCGAAACAAAGTCTTCTATGTTAGCCAGCATCTGGGCCACCTTATTCGCCTCCTGCCAGGTATGAGTCCATAAGACTTGAATATGCCTGCAGACGTCAAAAATCTCGTCAAAAATAGGTATCAGCCTCCAAAGAGGGTTGGCCTCGTGTGAGGTCCAGGAGATGACATATTTAGACTCACCCTCTACAACCAACATTGTGCTCCAAGACGAATCAAAAGATTTGAGGCCTTCCAAAAGTGCTCGGGCTTCCGCCGTGGTGGAGTCCGCAAGACCGATGGGGGAGGCGTAGGATAAGAGAGTGACACTGTCATTGAAAAGAGTGGCTATGTGGAACTCAAGGTATTAAATACAAAAGCTTTCCTTTTTTTTATGGGTGCGGTTTGTATAGAGCTTAGGCTCTAAACAATCAAATCAGAGCCTACCTTCAAATGGTGTCGAGAAATGTGGTTTCAATACTGAAAATATTTGTGACAGCCTTAAAATATATGTTCATCTTTATTTATAAAGTTTAAAGCTTCAAAAATAATGTAGATCAATAGATCTATGAAAACTTGAAAACTTGAAAATTGACGGTCTATAAACGAGTTACAAAATACACTATTTCCAAAACTTGAAATCCATTTTTTTCTCATGTCCATGCATCTTGATGTCGAGATGATCAATTTGAGGATATTTGGGCATCAAAACAACCCCTTCTAGTGTAATTTTTTAGGTAGGCTCAAATTTGATTGTTTAGAGCCTCGACTCTATATAAACTTTTCCCTTTTTTTATTCAATATACCTGAATTTCATTTACATGGGCCACTATATGCTGCTGTAAATCAAAATTAATACTCTAGATACAATATAGGATCTTTACTTTCACTACCAAATCAAATAAAAAATCATTCAGGAGCAATAAACAATCTTCCACTATAGTTTTGAGTACAATATATGTTCCTGGAAATTCACAGAAGAATGTGAAATATTACTGATAAATAATTAAATCTACTGGGAAGACTTATTAGAAGTGCCTGGAGTTACCCTAATAGGTCTTGATCCACCCCACAGGCGATTCCCTGACCGATGACACATTTTTAGTCCTTTAGGTGTTGCTGGAAATTATGAGATGGGGATACTTATCAGATAATACCTTTTAATCTAGGGCTTTAGAGAGCTCAAAACTTTAACCATGGTTTGTAGAAACCCTATAGGAACAAATTAGGGCTGAATTTGTGAGTTGATCTCTCTCGAGACAGGGCATCTCCGTTCTTTCTTCAAAAATACAGTAAACCTTACTTAGGGTTTGAAAATGCCACCTTTCCTTTATTGTCACACATAAAAGAGGAGAGAGAGGGTGGCTTGACTCCCTAAGGCAAAGAGAGAGGAAAAATTAGGGCATGAGAGAAAGTATGGGAGAAAGAAATATGGCATGAGAGAGAGAGAGAATGAGGCTTATCACAATTTTATGGAAAGGTTCAAACAAGTTTAAATAGAAACAAATTTATTTCCTACTTGGAGTAGGATTTCACCTTGCTATGCTTTATCTTATCTTTTTTTTCAGCTTGATAATTAAAAAATCTATGGGGTGAGAGAGATTGAATCAGAGCCATCCATCCCACAAATCATCCATCATGATTTTGGGTGGCAATTAGGAACTTTATCCCCTTATAATTTGACTCAAGTCCAACTTCTATTTAGATTTAGAAATAATAACCACTTTAGTATTATCTAGATCTTCTAAAATATATAGGAAGTCAAAGATAATCTTTTTTTTTTCGAATTCCCACTTGAATAGGAATTAAAAAATTTTAATTTTTAAAAATTCCTAGTAATTAAATTATTAACTGAAAGTGATATACAAAACAAATAAGTGGGTTGTGCCACCCAACGGCCATTGTGTGGGCCCCACAAGGTCACATGCCCCCACATATGGGTGGCTCACACATGTGGGGGCTGGATCCTTGGTCCTCAAATGTACCTTTTCAAGTTCTGAAATTTTCAAAATTACCCTTTTAATGAATTTTACATCAGAAATAAAATCTTAAATTCTGGAAAAAAATGTAAAAATCATAAAAACATTTCTAATACCAAAATAAAATATTTTAGAAGGGTCAAAATTAGCGACAATAAGGGCACTCCACTTGACTCAAGCACTAGGATCCATTAAAACCCTTAACCCACAGTCTCAATGCTAGGGCTCATGATTGACTTGTCAAAGTTGGACAATAAACAATGGAACCATGATCCTGGAATCTGGATTTCACTATTTCAGCCCCCCACCCCTGTCATTTTAGCAAGTCTAGCATTTGTCACCTCAGTGCAAAAGGGACACTCTCTATGTACATGTACACATGTCCCTCTAAAAGGTTGCTTCCCAATGATACGGTTGTCATGTGTACATACCATTTGGAAGTTTGTTGAAGCTTTGGCCCTTGATATAGAGTTCTCTTGGCCTAGAAACATCATCCCTGGGCATCTTTCTGACCTCAACAAGGAATGACCCACTGTAAGCCCTTCTCAATAGTGCCACATGCCCAGGGGTGGGGGTTTTGGACATAACCAGGGCCATAAACTGTCCAACCCATTGTCAGTCAACACACACACTCCCACTAAAGTGCATATTACACTATAAATTATCATTTTTACAAGCACTCTATGCCTTTAAAGTCCACAAAACCCAACAGTCATGGTCCCTAAAACTAAAATCTAGTTTTTTTTTTTTTGTTTTGTATCACCTTATCAGGATCTATAAAGTAGGTATTTGACTCCCTTACTTCAACCTCTGCAGTCGCACCCTGCCTTTCCCTAAATCCACAACAAAAGATAAATAAAACAAATTCTGATTTCCATGGCCTATTCCCTAAGTACAAAAACTTCAAGACTCAATTTTTCTTCAGGCAAAAGCATTTGAAGAGCACAATGGTAATTTCCCATTTCCCCTTTCTCATTTATTTTCTTTTATTTTTTCCGTCATTCATTAACTTTTTTGGGCATAAATCCTCTTTCTTCTTTATTTTCCATTATTCATTACTTTCCTTGGCTCTACTGTATTTCATCTCGTAGAATATTTCTATTGCCCAATGAAATCAGAGGCGTGCAGGGCATTACGTTGCTCTTTCGTAGCTGTAATGAGATTTTAGCAGACGCATTTTTAATATAACAACCAAGCTCAATTGAAATATACAATCACTGGAAATGAATAGAGCCTTTATTGATACCTTGGCTTCGTGAATTTTGTTCTCATAACTTTTACAATCCATGCTCTATTTTTCATTTCTAAACTCAAAAAACAGGATTATAGCTTAGTACCCTTCATCATAGTCATAACATAATCAGGGGTTTGCAGGCTATCATATTCTTGTAATCATTACCAGTTTAATGGATTCTAATATATTTTTGTTTTATCCACCATGCCGCACTTTCATCCTTATTCTTTTGTGGGAAATGTTGTGATTGTTAGAACAGCTACTTCTTGTTCAAGACGGAAAGCTTTATGGACGGGACCCTCTCTCAGATGTGATATCCAGAGCTGCTTTATCGCAAGTGATAAAGGATCAATCGTTTCAGAAAAATGAGTTTATTATACAGCTGGGACAGGTATCTGTTGTCTTCTTTCTGTTTTAGTGCTTTTTACTACATCATAACATCAATGTTGGGAGCCCCTCTCTTTTCTTTGTATATGATAATTGATATTGTTTGTTCTGGTTGGATCATTTAATTCTGTAAACGCTATTTTGTTGTGCAGTTGGTGATAAACTTGCTTAAGATTCTTTGCACGAATGCTGCATGGCAAAGGCGGAAGCTTGGGAAGATTTTGCAGGACTGGGGTGCTACTGCAGCCCAGGTTTGATCTGCATTTCTTGAATCCCATTTAGAATGTGTTGGATTTCATCCTTTTATTAGGGCTAACTCTTTAAATTTTCTCTGTTAATTGTTGGTATTAACTTATATTCCTAAGCATGCCTAGGACTATCGATCTGTATCTTGAATTTAAATTTGTCCAACAGAATAAAACTTATATTTTACTCATGTCGTGCATGTCCCTGCTTTTTGTAATCATTCCAATCATATTTGCTACTTGATCTCGTTAAAATTTGTACTGACATACCTTTGATTCTGGATTGAAGCTATTTTCACATCATTCTGCACCGGTTTTGTTATTTTCTGGTCATGGCCTACTCCCAAGGATGTGAACGCTTTTCTGGTTACTTCGCTAGAAGAGTCTGGTGAATGAAAGAGGACAGATCTTGCCCAGAAATATAGAAATTGTCATGGCCAAAACAAAATATTCTATTATTTTCATGGGTAGATTATAATTAAACCAATATGAAACTAAAAATGTTATTATCCAATATTTTGAATTAATCGTAATCATGAACATCTATGTTCACAATTGAAGGTTGTATTTTTCTCTTTCAAGCACCTTAGTCCTATGATATGGACCTTTCTGTTGAAAGGCATAATGAAATAGGTTCATATTTGATCCCTCAAGTTACCATGTTATCTAGTGATTCAGATCTCTTATCATCAGCCATAGGTTGCTGATTGAAACCACACTTATTTAAACAAGAAGGAAAGAAATGGAAACCTCTTATCATCAGACCATAGGTTGCTGATTGAAACCTCAAACCTTTTGCCCTGTGGCTCCATCTGGGGCTCATCCTTATCCTCCTCCTCCCAAGCTCCCACCCCTCTATGAGAACCACACCCACCTCCTGCGACCCCAGCCCCCCACTTTGTTTTCCTATAATGCTGGTCCTTCCAAGGTCAATCCTCCGAACCCTCCACTAACCCATGAATCGCTTCCATCTTCTGCCTGTAACCCACTCCTACTGACCTCTCTCTTCAGGTGCCCACTTACCCCACAACCGTCAGCCATTCTCTCATGCTCGGGCGGTCCCCCGCCTCTGTTCCCTTTTCTCCTCTTCACAGCCACGTCGATGAAGGGGTCATTCATCTTAGTGACCCCCAATCCTCTGCCCTTGAATCATCGCTGCAAAACTCCTTGGTTGGAAGATTCAACCCCCGGAGGCACGACCTTAGAGGCATTAAAAAATGGAGCCAAAACCTCTGGTCGGAGCCTCAACTCATCTGCCGCTCCCTTTCTAATGGTGCCATCCTCTTCTCCTTTCCTTGCCTCGATTCTGCCCTTAGAGCTCTCCAATGGGCCAACCCCACCTTCAAAGGTGTCGTTCTCTCTCTCTCTCTAGATGGCGTGGAGACCTAGGGGCTTTTGTCAAACAAAAATTGTGGCTGAGGGAATTCGACATCCCCCTCCATTGTTGGCAAATGAAAACTTTCCGGCAGATAGGCGAGGCTTGTGGGACACTCATCTCTGTCTATTGGAAAAGCTTGGAGCACCTCCCTTTGGGTACCAGCCAACTCCTCATCAAAACAGTGGACCCAAACCGTATTCTCTCCTCTATCTGGCTGGAGTTTACCGGCTTCTACTACCGGGTGACTTCGGCATGGATTTTGGACCCTTACCCTGCTGGAAATTGCAGTCAACGACTCTCGCAGGGACCTTCTGGCTTTCCCAGAACGGCTGGACTGTGGTCTCTCACAAACGCTGTCCCTAGGCTAATCGTGGGCATAGATTTCCCCATCTCAACAGTCATGCCCTCCCTTGAGCCCTGCACAGCCCCCCCACCGAAGTTGCTCGCCCTCCATGCACATGATGCCTTTGCACTTCACGAAGTCGGGTCCCTCCTCTTCCCCTTGCATGCCATCTACAGCGTTCCCTTCTGTCCTTCACATGGAGACATTGACGGCTTCCTACCACATGACGCCATCTGTTGATGGCCTATCACTGGCTTCCTCCAACATGCCGGCTGCACCCCCTCTTTTTTCAAATTGTCCGCCGACTGCTGGTCAGTCACCCCCTCATCAATGGCCACCTGCACTTAGCAGACATGTGGCCTCCAACTCTTCGTACCTGGCGAAATTCCCACCCATCCAGCCATCCAACGCTAATCGCACCTCTCTACCATCATTCAGAAAACAGCTGGCACCACCCCATACAGGCTGCTCGCGCCCTCCGAGGCCACTTTATTGACACCCTTCCCCATTCCTTGTCTTTCTCATCCTTGACACCCTTCTCCCCCTCCACTCTACCTTCCCCTCCTATCATACCTTAAGCAGAAAGCCCCTTCTCTTCGATTCCAGCTGCCACCTCTGTTCCGGTTGAGGGCTGCATTAATACGCAGACCCCCTGTCGAAGGTCTCGCCTATGCTTCCCCTTTGCCTCCCGCCACCCCTCCCTTTGCAAAGCTTCAGCTCTCTAGTGATTCGCCTGGCCACACTGCCCTCTAACCTCATCACCTTCTCCCCGGAGACCACATCTCCTAGAAGCGAACCCATGCCCTTCTCTGACAGGTCTCTCATGGACTCACCTGCGACTCTTGCACTTTCCTCCTCCCCAACTACCTTGGCACCCTTCTCGGTTTCTCTTTCCCCCTCTCTTCCTTTTACCCTCATGCAATAGCCTCATCCTGTCCCCCAGCGCCCCCCCCCCCCACCCCCGACCAGAATTTCTTACACACTTATGCTACCCTCCCCTGCAGCTGCCCAATCCTCCCACCACTTTTGGTTATCTCCGCCCCTTCCCCCCCCCCCCTGCCCCGCCCCTCACCCCACCCCGTACGTCCCCACCCTTCCCCCTCCACCCCCTCTAGACCCCACTCTCTCCCCACATTCATTACCACACCCTACTTATCTTGCACGTTTGCCCCTTCCAACCCCTACCACTCCCCCCTCCCCCCTCCCTCATCTCCGCCGGCAAGTACCCCTCACCCTACCCGGCTCCTGATGCCCCCCTTCACCCTACCTGGCTCCTAATGCCCCCTGCAAGCACGCTGCCCATCCCCTCATACTCTGCTTATGCATCGTCCAGTTTTGTCAACAAGGTGGACGAGGCCCAAGGCAACATCCTACAGGTCTTGGAAGTCATGGGATTCCGCTATGATGGCCCAGAGTAAGACATTAAAGCTTTCATCAAGGAAGACGCGAAGGCTCGCACCAAGAACCGCACCCAGCCCCAAACCCTTAAACGTTCAACGAGGTGGATTGTAGCTTCAACAGCGACAAACACCCTTGCTCTTCTGGCCACCCCTGTAGGCCAGGCCTTAGCCAATCCCTCAGACTCGTTACCTCCTCCCACAGTCTCCCATAAATATTCTCACATGGAATGTGTGGGGCCTAGGCGAGTCCCAGAACGCATGGCTGCATGCCAATTTTGCTCTTTCCACCACACTTCCATCCTTGCCATCTTGAAACCAAACTCTCGACCCCATCCCTTTCTCAGATCCGTCAAGTTTGGGGCAGAAGACCGTGCTAATGGATTGTTGTTGAAGCTCAAGGTGCATCGGGGTATTTTGGTCATTTGGCTCTCCACACCCTCTTATCATTGGTTATTGTCAATTATTCTGTCACAGTAGCCCTTTCTCGATCCTCTGATGCTTTTCCTTCGATGTTTTCTACGGTTTATGACCCCAGTTCCCCCAACTTCAGACACCACCTTTGGGAAGAATTGGACGAGATAGCTTCCCTCAACCCCTCCACCTGGTGCATTGGTGGAGATTTTAATGTTACCAGGTGGTCCTTTGAAAGGAACTCCAACTCCCTGGTTTCCTGTTGTATGCTAAATTTCTCTGATTTCATCTCCATGCACAATCTCTTTGATATTCCCCTCCAAGGTGCGGATTTCACTTGGTCCAACCAATCCACCCTTCCTTCTATCTCAAAACTCGACTGATATCTTACTTGTCTTGAATGGGATGCGTCCTTCTCTGGTACTAGATCCACAGCTCTACCAAACCTACACCGGACCACCGCCCAATCCTCCTTGATACCCAGCCAATTCTCAGCAGCCCAAAACCTTTTAGATTCGAACTGGCATGGCTTGAAGAGGCTGATATTTACACTCTCATTCTGTCTTGGTGGTCTTCTTTCTCTGACCAGACCCAAGGCAGGGCTGGTTTTTTCCTTCAACACAAACTTCATATGTTCAAAGCCCCCATAAGGAGTGGAGCTGCCAGCTGCTGAGCAACGTCAGGGCCCAAGAGGACGACATCTTGTCGTCCATTGCTCATTGGGACCATGTCAAAGAAGATAGAGCTCTATCCATCAAGGAAATGTTGCTGAGAGCCAACCTCAAAAGCTAATTCCAGTTAGTCCTTCGTAAGGAAGAGATTTTTTGGCATCAGAGGTGTAGGATTAAGTGGCTCAAATGTGGTGATCTTGACACTGCCTTCTTCCATAAGACTGCAAATTATAGATGGCGTGATAACACCATCACCCAGATCAAAGTCGGGAACTAGTACCTGGGCAGCCCCCCTCTTGTGTAGAACGCCATTATCGATTTTTTCGATAAAGTATTTGCTACCCCCAGGGGCCCAAATCCAACCATTGTTAGTCCCTCTTTCCTCACCTTACCCTTGGAAATGGCCCAATGGTTAGAGTGACCTTTCTCACCACAGAGATACTCAAGGCCATGTGCGACTTGGGACAGGATGAGGTCCTAGTCCTGACAGCTACCCTATATGCCACGCGCATTGCTCTCATCGCCAAAGTCGAAGGAGCTGAAGAAATTAAGGATTTTCGTCCCATTAGCCTAATCAACAATTCCTACAAAATTCTCACCACATGTGACTCATCTAGTGGTCTTGGTTTCCATTCCTACTAATGCTAACCCCTTTCGAAAACTACTAATGGTTTCAAAAATTGTTAACCCACTACTAACCCTTGATGTTCATAAAAAAAAGTCTATCAAAGTCTTGGCCCAACTCAAAGAAGTGCTAGGGCCGGTGATTTCCCAAAACCAAGGAGCCTTCATCAAAGAGAGGCAAATCCTTGATAGGGCATTGGTCCCCCTCCAGATCGAGGAAGGACTGAATCTTGTCATCCTCATCCAATGGAGCAAGCCGCTTTCTACATCCGATTCTCGTCATTCCATATTGGTTGTGGCAATCCGTACACATATAGCATTGGGCATCCACCATCCATCGTTGTCCTCGTTCTCGCTTCTCCGGTTCCCACCCCCTAGGACTCTAAAGACCTTGAATCCGGTCTCGCTTCACAAGGCGGTTCTATCACTCACACTCATTATGAATGGAATTCATCTCCAGTCGGTCTCACCCTGTTTGGGGTTGGCCAGTCCTCGTTTCATTGATGGCGAGAGAGAACTGTAAAAGCCTACGCCACCACTCTAGACCCTTGAAGCACCAGGTCACAATGCCTTGAGGATCGCTCTCCCCAGCTGTAGCAGGCTCCATCATGATCATCTAGGAAAAGGCCTATGACCACATCGATTGAGCTATCCTCGACAAAACCATGGCCAAATTGTATCTCTCACCCTTTCTTCTCGATTCTCATCAATGGAACACCGAAAGGTTTCTCCCTTCTTCTCAAGGTCTTCGTCAAGGAGACCCCCTATCCCCTTTCCTCTTCGTCATAGTCTGAGACGTTTTCAGTAGGTCAATCGAAAGAATGTACCTCCAAGGGATGGTAGACGGTTTCCAGCTTGGTAAGAATGGTCCAAATATATCCCACCTTCAATACACAAATGACACAATTGTTTTGCAGTGCCGACCCTCACCAGATTGATTATCTGCTCCTTTTCTTTAAATGCTTTGAACTAGCAACTGGCTTCGGGGTCAACATGGCGAAGACTAGGATGATTTGGGTGGCCTCCGACAAGCAGACCATCAATTCTCTGGCGGCCAGGTGGGGATGCAGCGTCGACTCCTTACCAACCTCGTACCTTGGTTGCCCATGTGCATTGGTAAACCCAAGATCTCCCAATGGAGTCAAGTCATTGACAGATTTGATCAGAAATTGGCTGGGTGGAAAGGCTGCTTTCTCTCTCCAGCAGGCCACCTCACTCTCATAAAAGCAACCCTGTCCAATGTTCTCATCTTTCAAATGTCCCTCTTGCACATCCCTACTCAGATCACCTCGAGGCTAGAACAACTGATGCACAATTTTCTTTGGTCGCGGGTCGCTGACAAGAAGAGGTACCACCTTGTTTCTTGGGATAGAGTATGCCGTCCTAAACACCAGGGTGGTTTAGGCATTTGGAGCCTGAAATTGTGCAATCTAGTACTCACGAGCAAGTGGTGGTGGCAGTCTGTCATCTGCCACAAATATCACCTACACCCTCTGAATGGTTGCCTACCCACAACCCAAAGGTAGGGCCTCAGGTGCGTGGAAATCCATTTTCCGCAAACATTGTGTTGGATTTCGGCCCTAGAGTGGAATTGGAGTCAAGTCTTGGGCCAACCCATGGATTGGGGACGTCCCGCTCAAAGACCGGTTCCCCCACCTCTTCTTGGTGGCCCGCGGCACCGAAGCCTCAATTGCCCACTCTTTTTCCCTTCTGTTGGGCAGTCCAGATCGTGGTCGCCTGATTCCAGGAGAGCCCTCACCGAATTTGAGATGGAGGAATTCCTGGAGCTCTCTTCTCTGCGGCAGCCCACTTTCCTTCCTCTTCATGGGGAAGACAGGCTCACTTGGTCCTCTTTGGTAGCTGGAATTTTTTCAGTGGCCTCATTCTATCTTAATCTTCTTCCCACGCTGTCTCAGTTCCCTCCCGCCTTATCTCGTCAAAGGCTTAGTTCCCTTTCATTTCCCCTCGCCTCCAATTCGTTATGTGGTTAGCGCTTGCTGAAAGAGTCCTAACCTTAGACCTCATTCAAAGAAGAGGGGTGCCTCTTCCTAACAGATGTGTGTTGTGCCGAACTGAGGCTGAGACCAACTCACATCTATATTTATCCATTGTGACACGCCCACGGAACTATGGAGCAGCATCCTCCAGCGGTTTCATTGTACCTGGGTCGCCCCCTAGGTCGGTCCCCCACCTTCTCTCTTCCTTTTCTTCTTGTTCATGGGCCAAATCTGGTATTCTCCTCTGGCGTGTATCTGTAGCAGCCACCCTGTGGATCATCTGGATCGAGCACAACAACAAGACCTTTCGCAGGGAAGTGGCCTCAATCGTTACCTTAAAGCCCAGGGTGAAGGAAACTGTGATATTTTGGGCTCTGAATCGCCCGACCTTCAAACACGTCCCCCACTCTGACTTCGTACAGAATTGGGAGTTAATATATTGTGCCGCCAGTCTTCGTTTTTCCCCCCCCCCCCCTCCCCCATCCCCGGCCAAATAAAGCTAGACTTTTACGGTTGCTCGCTAAGCAACTAGTGCCTGCGGGGATTGAGGGTGCCATTTGCGACTATGAGGGCTTAACCCTTTTCTCCTTTTCCAGAGCCATTGGGGAGACCGACTCCACAGCTGAGACCTTAGCCCTCCTAGAGGGAGTCAGGAATCTTGACCGCAGTTGGGGAACTTTGTTGTTAGTTGAGGGAGATCCTCAAACATTCCATCATGGGCCTCTGGCCAAGCCCCCTACCCCTTGGAGATTGGCCCATCTTATGGCGAGATTGAGCATAGAGGCAGGGCCTACAGAGTCTCATGGAAACACGTTTGGCACGAGGAGAACGCAGCTGTAGATGCCTTAGCCAGAGAAGGTGCTAACCCTAGTTAGAGATTATCCCCTCACCCTTGACCTTGACGTGCCATTTTTTGAGAGCATGAACATTGTAATGTTTTGTTTTCTTGTTCTTACTGTATACTGCCATTCAATTTGGGCCACTGGCCCATCAGGGGGCCTTTTTTTGTATATGCATACCTTTTAATGCAAGTTAACATATTCAAACTAAAGGAGAAGTAATTTCTTTGTTTTTTTTTTCTTTTTTTTACTCCATTAGCAAAGGTGATTTCTTTCATCATCTTAATATTATTGATATTTAAATGATTTCCCCTCTCTGTGTCTGTTTTACATTGTTAGATACAACTTGATGTGTATGTTTTCCCCTTTAAATGTTACCTTCGAAAAAGAAGATGCCTTAAATAGTTTTGCCTCAGCTTTAACTTACTAAGCTCATCTACTCTGGATTCCATTGATGTCCTTCCTTTTTTTGTTAGGCATGTTCTTTATCTCATGGTGGACATTCTGTTTGAAAGAATAGCTTTCCTTATGAGTTTGTTTAGCTTCGTTTGCATGAGGAACAATGTCAAGGTTCAAACCCTTAAAGGCTCAAGGACTATTCCGTAAAAGTATTTTCCTAGTTAACATATGCTTCTAAAAACCTGTATTTGGTTTGCAGCTGCAGCTGTCCTCGAAGAGAGAAGTAGACAATGTTTTGAACATCCGTGTTGAAGAGGTGCATTGCTCTCAGATCTTCAGTCACAAACCATGTAATATCTTTGGATTTCCCTTTTAAGAGAACTGATCTTTTTTGGGTTGGGTTCTACTCCTTTTCCAGGAAGAATCCATGAAGCTCTCAAAGCATCTTCTCTGTTGGACAGAAGAACAAACCTACTGGATTGCTGGCCGTTTCCTTATGTTAGGATTTGAGCTGGAACTCTATTCCCCTAGTGAATACTGTATGGTTTACTGGTGGGTTTTCGTTTGATCCTCATGCCCTTTTACTTCCAGTCTCGGTGGCATTCAAGTCTGATATATGGTTTTTTCAGGTATCTGTACATTGTCATGTTCAAACTCCTAGAGAAAGCTCAACTAAGGATAGTACAAACCAATGATTCATGTAAGTGTCTTTGGTAGCAGTCCTCTTAGTTTTTAATATTATTCACAATTTGAACCCATTTTGAGCTGCTTAGAATTGCCGGATGCTTGCACTGCTTGGCCTGGCACTTTGTAGCAAACCAATCTCTTTGCTAGTTAAGAAATCCAAATCCTCATTCTCTTTTCTCTACAATGTGCTTTTGTAATGAAACTTCTTTTGTCTTCTTTCTGTGCTTTCCCAGGCTGTGTTTTCTAACACTTCTTCAAGTATAACAAGATTTCTCAAATCTTCCTTCAATGATTTTTGTATCCTTTTAGAAAGCTTAAATGATAAACTTGCACAAGTCAAAGCAAGTTCGGAGTCTCCAGTAATGACTGCTTGAACCATGTAGTGCAAGTGTGATTTAATTTAGGTTATATTTTAGCTATCCAATCTAAGAATATATTATTACTTGTGATATTATGCAGCCAAGAAAAAGGGGAAGAAGAAAAGGGACCCACTAAAGGATGGGGCAAAGGAAATCCAATATCCGTCACACATTTTACTGCTCCAGTGCTACATTAACCTTTCTGAGGGGCTTGCAATGGTACTCACATCTTTCTTCTGGATCACTCATGGTTGCATGATTCTCTCCTTTCTGAATGTGAGATTCCCTTTCTTGATCTTTCACCAAGTTGGCATGTTCTTCAGATGCTTGCAGCTTTGAGCAATGAAAATAGTAACTTCGAGAAGCCAAGTATATTTAATACCGAGCAAGAGGTAAGTAGCTATGCAATTATATTTTAGTTCCACTGGTTCTTCTTGGAATTGACCAACTTTCTTAGTTCTTCTTGAGAGCTTTTCCTTGCCTTTGCAGAGGTTCATTCAGCACTTTGAGCTGCTACAGAAGGCACATGTACCTGAGGGCGTTTCATACATCATGTTTAAGGATTTGATGAACCATGTAAACTTCTCAGTGAGTATCATTATGTTCAAAGTTGCTCATGGTCTATGTAAAAGTAGCACTGTCGCAAGGGAATATATACATAATCCAATGAGTATGCTAAAGGGGACTCCAAAGGGGAGGTTCATCTCCACCGTAGATCAATGGCAATGGATGGTGGATGCCCCTTCGGAGTACTCTATGCCGTGCCCCATTGGATTGAAGTACTTTTTTACGTTCCAAGGTATTGTCCCGTCTTCTTATAGCTCTTGGTGTATTTCACAGACAATAATGAGATACAACTATTTCGGAGCTGCCCAATTAATTGCAAGGGATCTCAAGGGCAGGTTCTCCGGAGACCCTGAGAAAATGTCTGAGCTTCGCCGTGTAGAACAGGTTGCTGAGCACAATAAGATAGCCCTTAACGTTATTTGTCAAGCTGGAATCAAAGATCCATCACTTAAAGTCTCTTTTGAGTTCACACACCATGCTTGCTTTGCCATTGCTGTTGTAAAAAGATCCTAAACTTCTTTTTACTGATCAAATGAAAAAAAGTTAATATATGTTCCCCCAATATAAGCAAGGGACAGTGAGCCATTTGCCATCTTAATATTGTTTGTTTAACTTCTGAGGTGGGTTCGTCATCAGATAATTGCAGTTTTGTCGGGAAAAGCAAGGTTATATCATCATTAGCAAGAAGGCTATGCCAATTGTACCAATATCAACATTTTTTCTCCCAATGAAACATGGCCTTTGGCAAGGTACTTCGAAACCATTGTTTACCAAATGTTCCATCTCTCAGAAAGAGTGTTAGGATGATGATAAGAATTGAATTGAATGTTCCATCTCTCAAAAAGAGTGTTAGGATGATGATAAGAATTGAATTGTGTGGTATATTTAATTATTATGTAAGTTAGCAAATGGATTTCAATTTTTGTGGAAGTGGATCCTTATCTAATGGGGTTTGCTTCTGTATTGGAAAGTAATTTCGCCTTACTGATAAAGGTTGTGCCCTTGCCTCCTATTGCTTCCAACAGTCTAGGTATCATCAGATCAATCAGATATTGTCCAAACCTTCTAGTGGTTTATAGAAACTGCATCTAAATCAGAACAAGGACCAAGGATCACAAAGCTGGAAAATGCTTTATGCAAGGAAAACCAAATCAGAAAGCTTGGTTTTTAAGCAGAATTTACCCGTGTGCCATACAACACTCGTGTATGGTATCAACCCAAATGTAGTTTTAGGATGGAGCGTACCATACCATACGCCTCTACAGAGTTACAAGATGGTAAATCATACTCCACTGCCTGTTTGTATTCACATAAATGATAAAATATACAGGTAGGTCATTTATTTTTATTTTTTTTTAGGTAGATCAGTGGGGAGTACAGGCCCTATCTTTTTTAGAAATAATTAGCAGTTTTCGAATGCATCAGTGGGAATGGAAATTTAGAATAGTAGTTGAGGCTCAAGTGGTGTTGTCGCCACGATTTCAACTTCTTTCGTTTTACTTTTAATACAAGGAGATCACAATCACTCTTGTCAATCGATTTCAAATCGGGTAGTTGTGAATATATCATTGATTAGAGCAAAGTTCAAAAGGATATTTTTTTAACTTTGTAACATACTTCAAGGCATTTAATGTGATATTTGATAGCTAAAATTAATTGTGACCTCTTTATAATAAATATAAATGGTCTCATGGTGTGCAATCCCTTAATATATTAGGCAGATTAACGATTTTGCTTAAATGCTATATTGTGCCAATTAACCATACCAAGGTAGAACATTTGTACTTACCCAAAAAAAGGAAGAACATTGTTTAGAACTGCTGTTAATCTCACAATCCATCCGGAATGGGACAATGATGGTAGATAGTGCGAGAGATTGACACATGGTGATAAGCTTAATTTCTCTTTCTTAATATCGTTCAAAATTGGATCTAGGAAAATCATAGCCCTTTTCTTAGCATCTTTGAAAGGAAAATTGTATCTCAAATCACCATCATGAAAAACCGATATACTTGTTGAACTATCTTTGAATATATAACGGCCATACATATAGTTTCCTCCGTTGTTTTTTATAATGTATTTTCCTTTTTCGTACTACTCTCATGCTTGATATCAATTATTGTAATCGGACTAGCCATTGAATGGGTAGAAGGGGTTCGGTCCAATTAAAACGTCTTACTACTGGTCAAACCAATTCAACTAGATCATAAAACAAATAAAAAAAATAAACATGAATAATAATTTAAAATATAAAAAATTAAAAAAAAGTTATTCAACTATATTTTAGCTAGTTCAACAGGTCAAAACCAAATGATTCAACAAAAATATATCAGTCTTAGATAGTCATCAATCCCACATATTAGAGTATTAGATAGTCATCAGTCCCACACATTGGACCACCTGGGCCAGTCTTGATAACACTACTTGATACTAACACCACTCTTATAGGGACATGCCTACCCTATGTATCCATCATAGGAAATATACATTATACTTAAAAGCAACAAGTGCATGTTACACTACACAGACTCTTTCAACCAGACTAGCACACACTGCATACTGCATATGAAAGACGAATCAACGAGGACCAACACAACATATTTTCTATATTCCTATCAACGAAGAGAAAGAGAGACCACAAGAAAGCAAATGGAATAGATCAGTTGATGGATCTGCAGTTGCGTCGAATCTCGCCACTAGAACCAGTGAGAGGCTTGATAGCACCCATCCTAAGCATGGACATCCTGAAGTTTTTGAAGAAGAACTCGGTATCACTAGCATAATTCTCCACCACCTCACGGGTTATTCCACCCTCAGCAAAAAGGGCTTGATCTGAACTCAACAACCCTTGGCCAGACGCCAGGTTAGCATAATATTCGTTGTCAAAGACTGCTGGTGTTCCCACATCAAGCACGGCTAATGTCATGTTGCTGTTCACCGAGCACAATTGTTGCAGTGAAGCCAAGAATTCTCTATCCACATCATCTCCCGAGTTGCTTTGAAGACGAGAGCGAAAGGTCGAGCACCGAGCCATGCCTATGGTGTGTGCACCTGCACACAGTTGTGACGGTATTGTGGTATTTAGTAAAGTATATCATAGAGCAATATAATAAAATCCAATCAGTTTTAACTATTGGATGTGAAATCAGGTGGTTGGACATATCGTACTGATATGGCTCAAAATTCAAAAAAAAATAAAAAAAAATTCAAACTTTTGACACACCAAACTATCATATTTTAGACCTAACGGGTAGGTAATTGTGAGCTCTTTGGTGGCTAGGAGAAAGGGAAAATGGTATTGTCATATACAGTCCCATGATGCTTTGTCAAGCCCCAATTTGGCTTTAATTTCGTCCGAGAAGCCACAAAACGGTTTTGACTTTTTTTTCTCAAGTTCTTCTCTGTTAATTATAAATTAAAGAACTATTACTTTCTTAATTAGGTTAATATAATATAGAATAAATAATAATAAATAAATAAATAAATAAATAAACACGAAGAGTGAGAGAGAGTTAGTTAAGGGGTTAGTAGTAATTTAATGCTATACAAAATCGAAAGTGCATAAAGATACTTCAAAGAAAATGGAAGGAAAAACAGGGAAAAAGGAGTGAGTTGGTTAGGGCAGAGTGACCTGAGAGTGTGACCATGTCCTGGGGAGTGAGGCCCACATTTTGAAACTTAGACACAAGGTTCGCCACGTTGGAATTAGGGCCCGGTATGTTGTTGTTCGCCGCAGCCTTGCTGGCAGTCAAACTATCCTTCCGTCCTAGCTGGACTTGCCATGTGGGCCCACCCGACTGCCAACACAGCACCACGACCCATCAATCCCTCTCCCTTCCTTATTCACTTACAACCCACGTTTAAGATTAACATAATACCAAACTACAAAACGTTATACTTGGCTACCAGGGAACCAATTCAATTCACCAAGTGTGTATGTTATTGTTCCCATGGAGCATACTATTCATCTACTCTCTCAGGCGCCTGACCTACTTTGGTGGATTTTCCTTTTTACCTAAAGTTTTAGGATCCACCAAAGTACTACTAGATGATTATTTTCAAAAAAATAAAAAAATAAAAAAATAAAAAAATAAGAGTTTGAACATTTCAAGGCCTAGATCTCACCTGGACCGTCTATGTTCAATCTTGGGACCCTATCCTTCCCAAACCCATACGGTGTGGGATTTGAGGGTTTTTTTTTTTTTCCTTTTTTCTTAATGAGCATTAACCGTTTGGTTGAAGAGGTTGCATTTGAGACCCTAAAAATACTGATAGTTTAGGTCTCACCTGGGGGAGTAAATGGACAGTCTGCTCTCAATGGAGCACAAAACCTAAGAATTGACAACCAAATTTGTAGAAATGTAGCATATTATACAAGCACAAAACCTAAGAATTGACTACCAAATTTGTAGAAATGTACCATATTATACAAGCATGGCATTGTAGGGTAGCATACTAGTGAAATGATTGTAGCATGGCATAGGAGGGTAGCATACTAGTGAAACGATTGTAGCATGGCATAGTAGGGTAGCATACTAGTGAAATGATTTTAGCATGGCATAGAATAGATGAGAGAAGGAGCATGGCATGAAAAAGAAAAGGTTTGGTAGATAGATAGATACAAGGAGTACAGAGTCACGAGCAGCCATGGCCAAGATATCAGCACAAGACACAGTCTGAGGGCAAGCCATTTCGAGGTCACCCTTGATCCCATCGATCACCTCAAAACCCCTCAATGAGTTCACATTTGGAGCTGCACTCTTCTCCCCAACAAATGTTGCAGTGTCATCCAACAGCACCGACGCGTCGCAACCCTGATTCATATATACATTTTTTCAACAAAACAAGAACACCATGATATAATCCTTTTCTTTCAAAGAACAAGAAGAAGAAACAACTCTCTTGATCTCTCTGATATGTGCATACATTTACGAAGCAGTCATGGAAGTGGAGGCGGAGAAGGGAGGCCGCCATGCGAGGGTCTTGGGCCGCAGCATTCTCCACCCATGAAAATACTATGGACTCAGCATCAGGGCAGCTCGTCTCGTAGGCATTCTCTCTCAGCAAAGAACCTCCACCTGCACCTCCACCCACTAAGCAAGCTCCTGTTAAGCCCACTGCCCAACCCGCCACCACCACCATTAGTAGACTATACCCCATTTCTCTCTCTCTCTCTCTCTCTCTCTCTCTCTCT